ATAATTGGGTCTTACGACGTTACTTTCGTTCATCGTTTAGCAGCGCATCTGGGTCAGTTAAACCGTTGCTAGCCACTCAGGCAGGTGCACTGTGTGCTGATTGTAGCCGACTGTCTCTGACTCGATCTAACTGATAAAGATGAGAGACATTGGCAGCAGTAGCAGCAGCAGCATCAGTAGTAGTAGTAGTAGTAGTAGTAGTAGCAGCAGCAGCAGCATAGGTAAAAGCCCGGTCTATTATGCCAGGTGGGTGTTTGTTCCAGTTACCTGCGATGTAATGAGGTAATGGCGTAGACTGGTTACCCGACATGTAATATGCGTTAGTTTCCTGTGGTTTATCAGTAACGACTGCATGCATACCAGTAAAGCTTGCCGGTGTTTTCGCGGTATGCCCCGTGACTATTTGCTGGTAAACAATGAAGGGCATCTCAATAAACCGCATGAGTCACCGTGGCTCTACCGTGAGACAGCGATGTATGAGACAGTGAATCGTGCCCATGATGTTTTCGATTCCAAATGTAAAATTTATCCGTAATCACACCAGTGCGCCATGGTTCACATCGGATGTACATTCATCATCTTGCTTGCCAAACTGCTTTGTTGCATATAGTACAGTCATCTAACCTGTGAGAACTTGTGATTTTACGTGTGAGACATCGATTCCGCGATCGAGAGACTGATTCTGTCTGTGAGACATTGATTCCGCGAATTGAGACACTGGATTTCTGTCCTGTGAGACATCGATTCCGCATTGAGAACACTGCATTCATGTCTGTAAGAATCGATTCAACGATTGAGACACTGATTCTGTCTGTGAGACATCTCGAATTCCACGATTAAGAACACGATTACTGTCTGCTGAGAATCGAATTCCCGCGATGAGAACACCGATTCTGTCTGTGAGACATCGATTCCACGATTGAGACACCGATTCCACGATCGAGACATTGATTCCACGATTGAGTCAATCGATTCCGCGATTGAACATGATTCTGTCTGTGAGACAGTCGATTCCCACGATTGAGACCTGATTCTGTCTGTGGACAATCGATTCCACGATCGAGAACTGATTCGTGTCTGTGAGACGTTCGGATTCCGCACTGAGACACTGATTCTGATGTGAGACCGATTCCACGACTTGAGACCCGGATTTCTGTGCTGTGAGACATCGATTCTACGATTGAGACACAGTTCCACATGGTGAGACACCGATTTCCTGTGTGATACGCTGATTTATCTGTGAGACACAGATTTCACACGTGTGATGTTACTTCACTATGACCACAGATTCCATCTGCGAAGTAATTTATCTGATAACATAGTTGAGACGTATAAACATACTATAATGGAGACACCGGAATTCTCATCGCACGTGACCTGAGTCACCAGCACCGCATGAAGCTCCACCACCAGCGCCACCTGTTGGATGAACTTGCCAGGCGTTTTACAGTGCATCTCGAACGCGGTATTGCACTTTATGAACTGCGGTGTGGGTTGATTATAAGTTAGTGATTTCTGTGGTCATGATTCCATGCCGACGCTTGCAAGAACAAGATGTTCTAAGGTTACCGATATTTTCTCTCCGAGAACAACCAGTCGGTATATTGCGTGGGCTCTCATCACATGGACATGTGCCTTGGCGTGCGGTAATACATACATTCTAGCATATTGAATTTCACTTTAATTGGTCGCTGTCTTAAGAATGAACATTGTTCGATGGCGTGATTATGGTGCCGAGCGGCAGTGTCGTGTAAGGAGTGCAGGTGTTCACCCACACACGAGCTCAGAGCAGTTTTATTTGTGTGAAGCGTGTTTCGGCCGAGTAATAATACGCGGAGTGCTTAACTTGGCTGCCCTCGTTACAATAGAGCACGGGCACGGCTGTTGTCGTTTAACAGAAAAACCTGACGATTGGTAAATTTGCGAAAAAAATGCCTATTGAGAGTTTTGTAGGGCAATTGTGCATTTCGCATTATAACTTTGTAGCGTTTGAGTGTACAGCGTGGCACTGGCGCGAGAAGGGAGATTCCGGTAATAGGACTTGTCGTTTTGAAGTAGAGAATTAGGCTACCTTAAAAGGCCAAAGCTAATTAAACATCCTGTAACGTAAAGTTTTTTACTTTTTCAGTTAAGTATTGTGAACATATATATATATATGTCATAATATATATGTGTGTGTTGTGTGTGTGGTGTGTGTTGCGTGGCGTGCGTGCGTGCCGTGCGTTGGTGATGTGTGATGCTATGTGCGTGTGCGATGCGTGTGTGTTGAGTTTTACGTCGCTGGCGTCCGTACATGTAAATGTATGTTGCTACTAATCATCACTTTCGTTAACTAATTTAGGAGTATTCTGTTTTTTCTCTGCAGAAGATCCGAGCACATCAGTAGTACGCAGTGTCGCGCCGGCCGCCAACCAGTTCTGCTGATAGTCTATTGCGGAAGACCTGAAGGGAGCTCAGATCCCCATCCACTTGCATAGGGTATTATTACTACACACTCCCCTATCCCGCGAGCTAGGGGTGTCTCCGTGGGTTTCTGCCATCGGAGTGTCATAATATAGATAAATATGACATCTATATTATTGGCACTCCTGCTGGCTGTGTATAGGTGCAAATGCGGGTGTAGTTTTACTGCGCGACCGGGATGCTGTGGTGCATGTCAGCAGTGTAATGATATAGATAGTATGAACGAGTGCATAAATAGAGATCTCTATTATCAGTCTCTGATAGTTATTACGATAGTAGGTAGTGTCATAATATTAGCATCATTATATTATCAAGAGCGTAAAAAGAAGGTATCCGACTTCTTTATACGCCTCTTGATATTATGAGCACTCGTATGATAGTAGTCTAATGATATTACACCCCTGAGGATGTGGTGTGAGGCTAGCCCTGCGTCCCAGGTGCGCCCATGCATGCCCTGCTGTCACTGATGTCTGATTACTGATAAGGCCCACAATACTGCCCGCACGCGCAAGCGCTAGTGTTTAAGCGCTACCGTGTCACCGATGTTGCGCACGAGGGTGGCAGGTTTTTAAATGCGCTGCACTGGTGATCAGACACTTCATACTCGATCGCCGCAAAAGTTTTGGCTCGCATCTTAAAGTAGTTAGAACTCGATCTAGCATGGCTGTATACCTAGATTGCTACCTCAGCAGCAGTAACTGAGGTAGTACTTCCCGCGTCACAGACACCTGCCAATACTG